GAATGTGCATATATTTCAATAAACGCATTTGTAACAAATTTAAATTTGCATTATAACAGATAATAGTGAATATACCAATTAAAAAACTATACCATTTGTATTTAAAATTTTCCGCATAGTGATGAAAGCAGCAAAGCTTAAACAAACATTTGTAAAATCCCATCTCTAGGGCTGCCACCTGCTGCTATCTGGCCACATTGCCAACAGCTGCTTTTCGATATAGTTCGATATGCGATACCGATTGCTGGCACAGGCAGTGCATAAAAGTGCAAGATCGCAATGCAGTGGCAAACATTTGCACAAATATGAGTGAACGCACTTGATTGACCAGCTGCAGCCGTAAGAACAATAAGAGAAATGTCCAGTGCAACGTCAATACAAACATCGGCTGTGCCGCCCGTTTGGAGCTGTGACACGCACAGGCGCAGTCATAATCAACAGCGCGAGCTTAAACAACAACAACTGCAACTTTTCACACTCCAGACGGACCTGCGTCGCGCCACCAATCATTGGTTTCAGGCCAAGACCGATGAACGCTTCCAGTTGCTGGTGCAGACATGCGTTCAAATCCTGCAGCACGGCTTGCTGCAGCCAACGGCTATCGGAACGCTGGTAAGTGCGACGCGGGCTCAGACTGAACTCGTCTTCTGATAAGCGCAGCGTTCGCAACGCCCTAGGCTTAAAAGAGAAACGAGAAGCAGAAGTGGAATAAAAGGGAAAGTGGGAGTCGCAGCGAAAATACCCTAGTTAAATAGTAGAAGCAATAGCAAATGTTTAAGGAAATATTTAATAATTTAGAAACAAATTTATTTACTATTAGAAAAAGATTTGTCTTGTATACAAATAGAGTATATTATATTATATTTAAACAACAATCAGTTGCTATTACATAAACGAGTATTCAGTTATTATTCAACAAATTGAGTTACTTCATATTTTATTATGTTTTTTAAATGATCAATGAAATCCGTAATTGCGTTGTTTATTTTAGATATATGTATGTATGTATGTATGAAACTATGATAACACTTGGGCTTGAATGGGAAACCGAATACCAAGAACAGCCGTTGAACGTAAATACATGCTCAATTTAACTGAGCTCTGTTGATTGATAAAAATTGTAAATAATTATGCTATGTGTGTATATAAATGGAAAAACATGTTCATAAGCTTGGCTCAAGTTCGAGTTTTTAGAAAGGGTATTTTTTAGGCTTGGTTAAGCAATGTGCAAGCTTAAAATGAAGCAAAAAGAAAACGTAACAAAAGAAATCGTATAGAGTGACTAACAAGCGTTTTCTAATCGGGAGTGCTCGACTAGACGATAACCGGGAGTGGACAATTAATTGTTGAGTAACTTTTAATCGGAATGCATTTAATTGATGTCATTTTTAATGGGTTTTAGATGGCGGCAATAAGAGCCAAAACTCTGCATTCATCAAAGTCAATTAGAAACCTCTAGCTCTTGTGCTATGCTATCGATAATGATCGATAATTAGCAGATGGAGTGAGTTATCGTTCGAATGTGATTTAACCAGAATTCTCATTTCCCCAAGTATTCAGGATGACCATTTCTCAATAAACCCGCGTTGATCGATTTCCCTTGTTCCTCCATTGCAGCGCCTAGTTGAAGACTTTGAGTTTCTGCGTCTCAGCGAACATCCGCCAAAGCAGCAGCAGCAGCAGCAGCAGCAACAACAGCAGCCGCCAAAGGCAACAACTTCAGCTAATTCCTCACCTGCCCCCGGATCCACAGGGAATATGGCATTTAATGTCAGCGAGTTCCTATCCCATTGGGCCGCCAGCTGCCTGCGCTCGCGCTGCTTGTCGCGCTGCGTGCAGTCGCTGGTGGCGGACAAGGAGCTGCTGGACAGCTACTATCAGCGGGAGGTGGCCTTTCTGCGGCACGGCGACTGTGCGGCGGCGCTGTTCGTCTGCCTGACGGCCGTTGAGCTGGACCAGAGCAGCTTGCTCAGTCAGCTGGAGCCGATTGTGGGCAGACGTCGCCATCGGCGCACCAGCTCGCAGCCCAATTTCAGTTTGTCGCATCGACTGCACGTGGTGCAGGAGGAGGAGCAGCAACAGCAGCTTCAGCAACTGCAACTGCAACAGCAGGAGCAGAAGCCGCTGCAACAGCAACAAGTCCTGCATCCAAATCCGGTAGCTACGCAGCTGATGCGACGCTTCAAGAGTTTACCCTGCCTCTATCACAGCGACAGCAGCTTGGATCGAGTGTCGCATGCAGAGAGTGGACTCTCGCCGGCTGCTCCTGCCGCACGTCCGCGCTGCCAGACCTACAACAACAGCCCGAATGTGCCACTGAGCGGCTGCAGCCTCAGCACGGCCAGCAGCAGCAGCAGCAGCCAAGTGGCGTCACCAGTGCCGCGTCGCATACAGCTGATCAACTGCGATGACATCAAGATCTGGACAGATCAGACGAGCAGCATCACTCCCACCACTGGCAACAGCCAATCCTCACCCGCTCCGGTGCCCGTCACGAAGCGGGGCAGCTTCCTGGGCAATCTATTCGGATCGCCGCCGGTGTACACCAGCTGGTACAACAAGAGTCGTGGTGAGAGCGACGAGGCGGGCAGCGGGAGTGGCTTAAACGGCTTGACTGGCTTGAATGGCTTCCTGGCCATCAACGGACGCAAGCTGGACAAACGGCAGCAGCAGTCGCTCTTCGAGGGCGTCAGCATGCTGGACTACAACAATTGCCAGGCGGCGGCGAGCAGGACAGCGACGGAGCCCTTGGACATTGTGGGCGGTGTGGCGGGTCAGCAACAGCAACAGCAGCAGCAGCAGCATAGCGCCAGCTGCAGCACCACCTCCTGCAGCCCGAGCAGCGAGAGCCAGTGCAGCAACAGCAACAAAATGGACAATCAGAGTCTGGCCGCATTCCTGCAAATGTCGCGCAATGCGCGCAACAATACGGAGCTGGAGAAGGAGAACGCCCACTTTCGCATCTCGGAGGCGTGCATTGCGGCCATCGAGCACGTGAAGTGGAGTCGTCGTGGACAGCCGCCGGAGTGTGCCGGCAGCAGCAACAGCAGCAGTGGATTGGCCATAGAAGGGGATGCCCTGCTGCTGCCCCCCTATATGGAGCAGCAGACCACAAATGGCCATGGGCAGGAGGAGAGCATCAACAGACACAGCAACAGCAACAGCAACAATGACAACAATAGCGCCGAGGCAGTCGGTCTACAGCTAATCTCGCGCTTCAATGACAAGCAGCTGCCCAAGCTGGCGGACTTGAAGTGGCTCGTCTCGGAGCAGGATGCACCGCAGCAGCTGCTGCCCCTGCCGAAGCTAACACCGGAACTGCTGGAACCGCTGGCCGAGACGAGTCTGACGCGTGGCACCAAGACCTGGGCGCCGCCACGCCAACAAATCATCTTCACCGAGCATCCGCCGGCAAGTCGCTCCCAGCTGCTCAGCCGGCAGCATTATCGCTGCGCCGGCTGTGGCATGCAGGTGACACGGCAGTATCAGCAATATTTTCGCTACTGCAATTACCTGGGCAAGTACCTGTGCACCGGCTGCCATCGCAACCAGTTGTCGGCCATTCCGGCCAAGATACTGCAGTCATGGGACTTTCGCTGCTATGCGGTCAGCTCGTTCGCCTATCGCCTCATCGAGCAGATGTACACGTTCCCGCTGTTCCATGTGCCCGACCTGAACGCCCAACTGTATGTGAAGCAGAAGCAGTTGGCCAAGGCGCGACGGCGTCGCCTCCAGCTGAAAGATGTCCATAACTTCATAAGCGCTTGCCGCTTCGCCACCAAGTAAGTGTGTCAAGGTCACGCATCCTTCCGTCTCTTTCTAATCGGTATTCGCACGTGCAGGGAGCAGGCGCTGTTTGACGCGGTGCCGGCGCACATCACCAAAGATCCGGACATGTGGTCTATGTGTGACTTTGTCGATGTGCAAAACAGCAGTCTGTGCCGCTCCATCGATGAGCTGATTGAGCTGAACGAGCAACATGTCTATAGCTGTGTGGTAAACTGGAATTCGTGTCTCTCTTCTGCTTGTGCAGCTGTTTAACTCTCACCCCCCTCTCTCTCCCTCTTGCTTGCAGCTCTGCACGGGTCGCGCCTTCGTCTGCGAGCTGTGCAAGAGTCGCGAGCTGATCTATCCCTGGCAACGGAAGGTGCATCGTTGCGGGCAGTGCGGCGCCTGCGTTCATACCAACTGCTGGAAGCTGAACTCGACTGGCGTCTGTTTGCGCTGTGACCGGCTGCATGGACGACAACAACAACAACAGCTGTAACAGCAGCAGGAGTAGAACATGGCCAAATGAATTTTTTTTGTATATGCATACTGTATATAATCGTGTAAATTATGGATTCTATTAGCAAATGTACCTCAAGTGAATGATGACCGTTTCATAAGTTGATTTTTATAAATTATACAAAATATTTATTTTATGATATTAACTCTTGCATTTAACTTAATAGCAAAAACCATTTCCATATTCTACCGCAGGTCTTATTAGCCAATTCCAATTGGAATATTCCATTCAAATAATTAAGTGAAGTTTGCTTAAAATTTCTAATTTTCAAATTATGAATGTCATGGCAATATTTTAATATGTTTTATACATGTATATTTAATTTATTTAACGCTTCTGAAATGCACATTTTATATGCATATTCCTACTGGCTTGCTGACTTTATTTTTTAATTTCTTTTAAGCATTGTCTATTGGATTATCACATAGTAATTTAGAAAAACTCAATTTACTTGAAATTGATCAACTATATGTAGTCTGCTTACAACATGTTTTATTTTTAAATTATGAATATCATGCATTTGAATATATATATTCAAATTATTAATCGGTTTTGAAAAGCACAGAGGATAATGCAAAATTATCGGATTGTGGCAATCAACATAGAACTATCGCTGATGGTCGATATTCGATATGCTTGCAGCTGGCAGCTCATTATGGCATAGCAGCGTCAAAATATTTTCCTTTTGAGTTTGCAGTGCCCGTTCGAGTAGAGCATTAACATTTGCTTGTAAGATAAAAGTTAAAAATTTGCACCTCCTTTAATGAATCGGAAGCGCAAATGCAGTACCGAGCAAAATACGTCACAAGTGTTGTTAGTATAAATTAAACAGTTTTGACTAAATTTATGTTTTCGACTTTTTTTGCAACCAAAAGAAGAAAAAAAGAGCGTCGTGCGTGCAACACACACTGCCGATGAAGAGAACGCTATAAATTGAAGTGGAGGTTGGAAAGAAAACTACGAAGAAAATTTGCAGTTTTTTTCTTGACGGTTGGCGCTTGCGTTTGGGCTCGAGCCTACAGCTGCCTGCCATCCAACAGCCTGCGGCCGTAGCCAAAATATACGCCATAGATATTTTGTCATCTTTAACGGCAAGTGAGTACGAAAAATATGGAATAAAATATGTGCAATGCATTTGTGTGTGGAAGCGAAGTTGAATTTTTGCCTGACCGCCTGTGCACCCGTTCGCCCGTTCGTTCGTCGACAAACATGAGCGAGGGTAAATGTGTACAGCAGTGGGTTTTGATGCGTGCGTGCGTGCGAATGTATGTGTATGTGTGTATGCTTGCCTGCTTGCTTACTTGCGTGTGCGTTTAAGTGTGTGTGTTGGGACAAAAGCGATGCGGCGCACTTCATTTTGGCGTGAACAAATTCTACACGTTCATATGTACATGTACAAATGTACGTATTTAATTGTGTAAAAGAAGCATAGCTGCAAGAAGAAGAAGAAATAGAAAATACGCATAAATATGCGCATATGTATGTATGTATAAATGCAATGGCAAAATGGTAAAACGGCAATATTCAACAAAATTTGCAAGCTTGTGACACTTCTGCACACATACATATACATGCATGCATATATTTAAATATACATGAATTGACATGTGTGGGCATGTGTCAGTGTGTGCATGCATACATGTGCGTGCGTGTGTGTCAGTATGTTTATTTATCGATGTTTCTCCTTCTCCTGTTACCCATTTTCCATTAAATTTTCAGATAACTCAAGCGGCTGCTGCAACCAATATTTAGCGCAACGCAATCGAAATCGAAATCGAGTGTCAACACGATAACACAGAAGACAAACAAACTATAAGTGCCGGAAGAATTCATTGAAAATAACACAAAGCTATCGAAGAGAAAAGAGCAAAGAGAGCATTCGGCTAACAATAATAATTAATAATTTGTAGCAGAACAAATCAGCGAGAACGGCGGCAACAGCAGCAGCAGCAACAGCAGCGGCGGCGTTTGCAGTAGCCGACGGACAGCAAAATTCAAGTGCCGAATAAGATGGACATTGAAACAGATCAGTCTATCGAAGCAATGGATACCCAGGATACCCAAGAGGTCGAGATAATCACAAGCGACCTACAGCAGCAGCAGCAACAACAACAACAGCAGCAGCAGCAACAACAGCAAACAAACTCGCCGCCACAATTGCCAAAGTTTAAAAATCTAATTCATCCGCAGCAGCAGCAGCAACAGCAGCAGCAGCAGCAACAACAGCAACAACAACAGCAGCAGCAGCAGCCGCAGCTACCCAGTGAGAACGGCAACGTGCCGCCACAGCAATTGCTAGCTGAGAGCAGCTCCACATCATTTGGCAACGAACAAGAGATGCCAATGGACGACGAAACCAAGGAGGATCAATTCCGATCGGAGACAACGTTTTCCTATACCGTGGAGAATGTGGCGCAGCTTAAGCAGCAGCATCTATCGCCGCCCGTCTATGTGCGCATGCTGCCATGGAAGATCATGGTCATACCGAATGAGCGTGCGCTCGGCTTCTTTTTGCAGTGTAACGGGGAGAACGATTCGCCGACCTGGTCGTGCAATGCGATTGCCGAGCTGCGTCTGAAGTGCCACAAGCCGGATGCGCCGCCATTTACGCGCGCTCGCATCAAGCATTTGTTCTACTCGAAGGAGAATGACTATGGCTATTCGAATTTCATCACCTGGCAGGAGTTGCAGGATCCAGATAAATACTATGTCCACAATGGCAGCATCACGCTCGAGGTGCACGTCATTGCCGATGCACCGCACGGTGTCCTCTGGGACTCGAAGAAGCACACCGGCTATGTGGGCCTGAAGAATCAGGGCGCCACTTGCTATATGAACTCGTTGCTCCAGACGCTATATTTCACAAATTCACTACGCTTGGCCGTCTATCGCATCCCGACCGAGGCCGATGATAGCACCAAGTCGGTAGGCTTGTCGCTGCAGCGCGTCTTCCACGAGTTGCAGTTCGGCGATCGTCCGGTCGGCACCAAGAAGCTAACCAAATCCTTTGGCTGGGAAACTCTCGACTCGTTCATGCAGCACGATGTCCAGGAGTTTCTGCGCGTGCTCCTCGACAAGCTCGAGTCGAAGATGAAGGGCACCTGCCTGGAGGGCACCATTCCCGGCCTCTTCGAGGGCAAAATGTCATCGTACATCAAATGCACAAATGTCGATTACAACAGCACACGCTACGAGACCTTCTACGATATTCAGCTAAATATCAAAGACAAGAAGAACATCTTCGAATCATTTCAGGACTATGTCGCCTCCGAGACACTTGAGGGCGATAACAAATACGATGCCGGTGTCCATGGTCTCCAGGTGAGTGCAGAGTTGTCCATCCAATTAACTGCTAGGATAACATTCGCCTCCATTTAACGCATTCAATTTGTAAATGTGTGTAGGTAATGTGGGAACATAAGTCAAGCTCTTGCCATCCACAGCATGTGGATTGCATGTGTTTAAATGTCATGTGGAACGTAGCAATTGATGAAATTCTATACGAAGTAAAAGGAATTAGAGAATTCATAATTTGTCAATTCCTGCTCTTAATATTGAAATATATACTATATCATAGATTAGTCACGTTCCACAACAAATTACATAGTGGCGCACGCCAAAAACATAGCATCCACTATAATTATCTCTTGTTCCACTTAGTGCCCGTTAATTGTGGATATCAAATTAGACACGAAATTCTCATATTTGCAATAATCACCTTAAACACATTTGAAATACGAATCGTGCAGTGAGGCCGAAAGCCCGTTATCGTAGCATAAGTCTATAGGCACATACATATAATAATAAATAATTACTTTTTACCTTTCTATTTGTTGTGCAGGAGGCGAGCAAGGGCGTCATATTCACATCATTCCCGCCTGTGCTGCATTTGCATTTGATGCGTTTCCAATATGATCCAATTACCGATAGCTCGATCAAATATAACGATCGATTTGAGTTCTATGAACAGATCAATTTGGATCGGTATCTGGCCGACCGTGAGAATACGCCGGCCGATTATGTGCTGCACGCTGTCCTCGTCCATTCCGGCGACAATCACGGCGGGCATTATGTGGTCTTCATCAATCCCAAGGCCGACGGACGTTGGTTCAAGTTTGATGACGATGTCGTCTCCAGTTGCCGCAAGCAAGAGGCCATCGATCAGAACTATGGCGGCATGGATGATGAGATCTCGTTTCATGCCAAGTGCAGTAATGCATACATGCTGGTCTACATACGTCACTCGGAGCTGGACCGTGTGCTGGGCGATATACCCGAGAATGAGATCTCTAGCGATCTGGTGGAGCGACTCGATTTGGAGAAACGCATCGAGATGGCGCGACGCAAGGAGCGCAGCGAGGCCAATCTCTATGTGCCCATTCACGTTATACTCGAGGAGTACTTTGAGTCTCAGCAGAAGCGCCGACTGTTCGATCTGGAGAAGACGCACCAGCGTCCCTTCAAGCTAAAGCAAACCCAAACCGTTAACGAGATGGTCGAGATGCTGGTGAAGGCATTCGGTGTGCCGCGCGATCGCATGCGCATGTGGAACATGTGCACGGCCCAGACACAAAAGTTCCTGTACTTTGATTTCGAGGCGGAGGCGACACGCACCATCGAACAGATACCCACATCGCAGAAGCCGTGGGTCATATTCCTTGAGTTGGCACCGCCCGACAGCAGCGAGCCGCTGCGGCCGTTCAATCCCAAAACGGATGTGCTTCTATTCCTCAAGTATTACGATGCGCGGAACAAGCGCCTCAATTACATCGGCTGCACTCAGCAGCCGTTAACGCGCCGTCTCAGCGAACTGGTGCCGGAGGTCAATCGGAAGCTCGGCTTCGATCTGGACACCGAGCTGACCGTGTTCGATGAGTATGCCGATAAGAAGATCGCTAACATAAACGAGCCCATCGAGAATGTGCTCTATATGCCGCAGGATCATCTCCAGGGTCCCATTTTGATATTCGAACGGGAGAATGTGGATGTTAAGCTCGATTTGCCCACCGTTGAGGATTACTTCTTGGATCTGGTCTATCGCATCGAGATCATATTCAGCGACAAGTGCAACCCCAATGAGCCGGACTTTACGCTCGAACTGTCGAATCGCTACAATTACGATCAACTGACCAATGCCGTCGCCGAGCGCCTCAACACCGATCCCCAGAAGCTGCAGTTCTTCATGTGCATCAGCAACTACAAGGAGACCGCCGGCAATGCGGTGCCCTACACCTACAAGGTGCGTGTAAGCGAATTGACATTAGAGATCAGTGAACAGAGTAAACTGAAGCGAACAAACTCTCCACCGCATGAACGTTGTTCATTCAGTTGAGATCAAGTTGGCCTGGTCGTATCTATCATGTTCTCACATGCTCAGCTGAGCTATTGAATTTCATTCAGTTTGATTTGCTTCGTCGAGTCGAGCTGACATAGAATTCAATAATTTGTATATCCTGAACCCATTGAAAAAGGGAAATCAGGGTATAATGGTTCTGTTAAAAGTAACATGCAGAAGGAGGCGTGGCAGACCCCAATAAGTATATATATTCGATTAGTCGATTTAGCCCTGTCCGTTCGTCCGTCCATATGTATGAACGCGTCGATCTCAGAAGATATTAGAGCTAGAGACTTTAATTTGTTTTTCCTAGGTCCGGTGTATATCGCGCGCGGATCGAGTTTTTCTCTAAATATCGATAACTACTCCCGATATTTTATTATCGATTAAAGACCTTATCGAAAGCTAGTTATGTAATTATATCTCCTACACCTTTAGAGCTAGTTCTTCCAAATTTTAAATGTAGTCTTTATATGTATTTTATATAACTTACATTTTTTTGTATTTTTTTTGTTTATCCCCCACCCCTATATCCACCCTCACCTTTGTAAAACACGTATTTCAAATACTAGAGACTTGTGCTTTGGCATATACACGCACTTTAATGTTATATTAATGACCTGAAAGTTTCATGAGCCTAACAATTAAATTTCCATTTGCATCTCTACGTTTTTCTGTGTGTGAGTGTGTGTGTTTCTTGTGTAAGCAGAAAGACTCGAAGAATTATTGTAAAAATATCAATTCCTCGAAGGGTTCAGGGGATTTCGTAGTCGAGCAGTCTCGACTAGAGCCTTCTTATTTGTTTCATTTTACGAATTTTAAATTTTACAAAAATACGAACTATGTTGATATTCACAGGGTACCATCAAGGATCTGCTGTCGTACACGAAGCAGAGCACGCCAAAGCGGATTTTCTATCAGAGACTGTCCCTGAGCATACACGAATTGGATAACAAAAAGTTATTCAAGTGCATTTGGGTATCCAATGACCTGAAAGAGGAGAAGGAGCTGGTGCTGTATCCGAATAAGAATGATACGGTGAAGGGGCTGCTCGATGAGGCGGCCAAGACGATCACGTTCGCCGAGAATAGCCGCAAGAAGCTGCGCCTGATGAAGGTCGGCAATCATAAGATTGTGGCCATCTGCAAGGACGACATACCGCTGGAGACGCTGATGAAGACCAATGAGTCGATAACCACCACACAGGGCACTCAGAAGGTCTACCGCATCGAGGAGGTGCCGGCCGATGAGGCACAGCTGGCCGAGAACGAGCTCCTCGTACCGGTGGCCCATTTCAGCAAGGAGCTGTACAATTCATTTGGTGTGCCGTTCCTAACCAAGGCGCGCCATGGCGAGCCATATGGTGCACTCAAGCAGCGCATCCAGAAGCGACTCAATGTACCGGACAAGGAGTGGGAGAACTACAAGTTCGCCGTTATCACAATGGGCCATACCATCGATGTGAACGATAATACCCCCGTTGATCTGGAGGTCTATCGCACCTGGACTGGCGGACAGTTGCCGTTCTTCGGACTGGATCACATCAACAAATCGCGCAAGCGCAGCTCGCTCAATTTCTCCGAGAAGGCAATCAAAATCTACAACTAAATTAACAAACAGCAACAGCAAAAACAATAACAAAACAGAGCGATATATGGAAACAAAACAACTACAACAAACAAAAACAAAAAAACAAACCAACAATAATAATAATAATAATTAACTACAACAACAAAATCAACGTATGTTCGTGTGCAGTGAGTTTGCGCTCGTGTGTGTGTGTGTGTGTGTGTGTGCGTGTGCCTGAATAAGTGTCATATATATCCAAGCCGAGCAAACAAATAACATTCTCTTATGGATAGAGCATGCTTCCATAACAACTATAGAAACATCAGCAACAACAACAATTGCTTCCACAGCTTTAGCCCAAGAAGTCCATTATAATGATGATAGATATTGAAGCATATGGAGTAGGCAGCCGTATATATTTATAGGCATCTATATGTCTAAGCAGGAGTTACGATAGTTGTGTTCACAGGAGTTGATTCCGTTTGCCTCATACTCAGCAGATTTGTCAGATTCCAGGATCTTAAATCAGTTAACATAATTGGATTTGTTTCACACTTAGCCTTTGCCTGTTACATACATGTGTATATTTATATATACATTCTCTCTCTATATATATATGTGTATATTGTCCAAAAGAAAAACATATATACTATATTTGCAGTCAGTCAGTCTCGACCTAATCCTCCACCAACTGTCACGAAGCCAGAGTCAATGGAGTATTCATAGTAGAACATGTTCCAATGTCAATGCTCTACACACATACACACACACACACACACACACACACACATGACAAACGCACACACATATATACATTGTAGCTTTTGTTTATGCATGAATCAAATGGAATTTCAATTCATGTATAATCATTTGGTATATATGCGTGAATGCTTTAAAAATATTTTTTTGTTTTTTTTTTTTTTATGAATACTATTTTTAAAGCTATTTTAAATACATATATATATATATATAAAGAAAAATTAGCGCCAAGATCCTGAACAGATTTTTGGCATTACTGTAAATAAGCGTTGCAGTTATACCCGAAAGCCGGGAACACACACACACACACACACACACGGACACAGTCACATAGTAATACACTCACACACATGCAATATATGTTTACATAAATATATATATGTGTATGTAATTAATGTCCCTTGCCGACAGTTAAACAGTTAAAGCAGGGACTCTTTGCTGTTTTGACATCATGTAGAAAGAGAGAGGAAGAAAGTCAGAGAGAGAGAGAGCGAGAGACAAAGAGAGAGTGTGTTATTGTGTCGTGAGGAGTTATGAAAGCTATATATATATATATTTAGGTATATATATATATACATATATATATATACATATATGTAATTAAAGATACATTTAAAAACTATTATCTACCATATAACGAACACAGATCGAACGTTAATGAAAGAAGAAGGAAAAATATGTTTATTAAAAAAAAAAAAAAGAAAAAAGAAAAATAAATTAAGCAAAAAAGTAAAAGGAAGAAAACAGATTTGTTTCAAACAACAATTATTTGTGATTTTAATACATGAAATGATAAATATAATGATAATGATGTGACTATCTATAATAATATTAATCATAAACTACGATAATACAAAATAAAGAAACACTTTAAATTAACAGTTAGTGCTTTTACTTTGTTAACGTTAGCAAAAATATTAAACACAAAAAAAAAAGAAATGCAATTTAAAGAAACAGAAAATATTTTAACATCATATGAAAAAACAAAATATATATATATATATATATATATATAAAGAATCCCATATATATATATATTTATATATATATATATATATATATATATATATATACATATATATATATATGAAGATATACGCTATTATTATTTATGCAGAGATAATTAAAATTATTTATGTGTAAAAAGAAGTTGAAGAGCAAAGTGAAAAAAATCAAATAAAATACCAACAATTTAAGGCAATGTCTTTGTTATCCGCTGAATTACGAGGGAATTGGCTTATATTTCTGCTGTAGCTTTTTACTATAACCTTCAAGGGGGATGCCTTAAAAATCAGTATTAAGCGATCGCTCCTAGCGGTACTCGACTAGGAAGTATTCCAAGTATATAATTCTGATTTTCTACAACTTTATAATGCGCCCATTGGCTTTACAATGGGTGTCTTAACCTGAACCTGAACTCTCTTTAAGTCAATTGAAATTTGGACAAAATTCGATTTTGATTCGTTTCGTATTATTTGTACGTGAGCCGTATAATATTTATTTTTGTTTGCTTAAGAACTAGAAATCTCTTAGAATTTACGACGCTTGAGCAGATCGGGCCGCCAGTTGATCGGATGTGTTTCCTCGCTGGCCTCGTCATCCTGCTTGTACACCTTGATGGTCTTGTCCGCCTCGGCGGTGATGAGACGTGTGCCCGACTGATCGAAGCAGAGGGCAAAGATGCCCGCCTCGCTGTCCATGGAGCCGGGCTGGACGGGCGCCTGGAAGCGCTGGAAATTGTAGCCGGTACGCCAGTCCCAGAAGAACATGGTGCCGTTGTCGCCGCCAGAGACGAGCACGCCCTCCGAATTGGCCGCCATGCAATTGACAATGGCCGTGTGCCCGGATATGTTCTGCACAAAGTTGCCCTCGGGACAGCGCCACTGCTTGATGTTGTCCGGCGAGGCGGAGGCGAACATGTAGAGCGACGGATGCAGGACAATGCTGCGCACAGACTTCTTGTGGTTGGTCAGCGTGCAGACGCTCTTGCCGGCAGCCAGATCCCACAGACGGACGGTGGAGTCGTGAGAGCCGGTGATGATCTGGGGATTGGTGGCCTGTGCCACCACGCTGGCTACCGTGTTCGTGTGGCCCGTCAGTGTGTGGACATTAGCCTTGGTGCGCATATCCCAGATGCGTGCCGTTGAGTCGCGGCCAGAAGTGGCGAGCACATCAATGGTGGGATGCAGTGCCAGCGAATAGACAGCGGACAGATGGCCGTGATAGTGTCTGATAACCTTGTTGTACTCCAGATCCCAGCACTTGACTTGACGATCCTCGCCGCAACTGAACAGATACGGATGCTTTGCGCTGACGGCGACGCCGCGCACCGTGCTCACATGGCCAGTCAGCGACAGCTTCAGTTTGCCGCTGGCCAAGTCCCAGATCTTAATGACACGATCACCGGCGCCGGTGGCAAACCACTCGTTGCCCGGCTCCACGGCTATGCAACGCACCCAGCCCAAGTGGCCAGAGATGACGCGCGATAGTTTCCACGGCGCATGCCACTTGGGCTTGGGAATGCTAGGCGCTTTCTTTGGTATTAGTTGCACATTGCTAGCTCCACTGCCGCTGCTTGTCGGCATTGAGGCACGCACCAACGAGGTGTTCCCAATCACCATCGGTTTGTCTTTGTCGCGATTAGACCTAACCATGCTGCCGGCCTCTGCGCCGGTTGCGCCCGAATCCGAGCCGGCTGCAGCCTGGCCGGTGCTGCCGTCTGTAATGGCCAATGGCTTGTCGCTGCTGCCGTTTTGTATGGCGGACATTTTTTTATCGTCCATCGATTTGATGGCGCGGTCAATCACCAAGCCATAAGTATCCCTTGCCTTGATCGAACGAGTCATCTTCTCGCTGCAAACAAAAATTTACCAAACTATTATTGATGGCTGTGCGCCAATTGCATTGCCATTTGTACTTACAAACGCTCATCGATATCCGGCAAGTTACCCTGATTCGAGACAAACAGATCATGTGTGCGTTTAAGTGATCTAAATATAAGCGTATGCACGCTGTGCTTTTGTACATCTTCCATGCTTATGTCCTTTTATTTATACGAAACATAAACGTAAACGAATTATTTGCTATTCACATTGAGCGACAATGCGGCGGGCGATAAAATTTGCCATGCAAACAAAAAGTTATCGATTGTTGGATAGTTAGTATGTTAGTATTTTTTCTCCACATTAAGGGATAATGTTAACGAAAGTTTTTATCATGAATTTTAAATATCTTTATTCAGCAAATTTTTTTTTTTTTTATTTTAGAAAATTTATGCAATTTGTTACGTCAGAAAAACGTGTAAATCGCTCGGCAGCCAGCTGCGAACAATCGCTTAGATATCGGCATAATTGTCATCGAACATTTTTTTTTACTAAATTTAAATGTTTTTTATTCAAATAAAAAAAAAAACAGACCTTAGTTCTAATTTGTAGTCAGCGTTACGCAGCAACCCCAACCAATTACAATGCAATTTGAATTCATTTCTGAAGCAAATATGTTTTTTTCTTTTTTATTTTTAGTTAGCGGGAACCGGTGATCCTGAAGCTGCGTTACTTGATGATAAGGATGAGGAAGTGGGCGAAACCGATGCCGACGAAGAGCTGGCACCATGCGCATTTTCCTGAGCCGCCGAAGGTCTCGTGGTGAAGAACTGATTTATCTGCAAGTCATGATAATGCTTTTAGATTTGTCAAACTTACAGAATTCGTTTTTCTTACAATTCGTTTAATATACGTGCACGACTTGTCGTTGTCCGAACTGGATACAACATTGTCCACCCTATATGGCGGCGAAACGGTAACTTCATTCAAAATTTGTATGTTTGCTCCTTGCCAGGAAACTTCATTGTACTGTCATAAGAATATATCAAAGATGGATTAGTAGAAATTTAATACTGTGATGCTATTTAAGCTTTATAAATATGTATATATATATATATATATATGTATATATCTGTATCAGACTCACCCCAAGTTGTTTGGCTATCGCTCGATAGAGCTCTTGTGCTTCTGGTGTAACATCCGCATTTTTGGACTTGAGATAGTCTTGACGTCTTTCTACTGTTTTACGAAGGCGCATTTTAACCTATAGGAAAAGTGAGTTAAGAAATAAATACAAATTCAGCAGATATATGTTTGTTGAATACATACCTGATCCAGGTTGAGCTTTTGAGGATCATCAATGAAGTTTCCATTACATTCCTTGATCACCTGCACATTACTGCACAACGATAAGTTCATCACATAAACATCACTCAGTTCACCTGATGTTTTTGAGTGACATTCTAATAGGGCAAAAGAAGAGGAGAAAGAAAGGCAAAGGCGCGGATTTTGTGTGACGATGTAAGGTGACCAACTCAATTATTCGCTAATTACAACTATATGTGTTCATATAAATCTAAATATATTATATAAAACACATATTTATTAAAGATAATAAAAGAAAAAAAAAATGAAAAACTTTCACTTTTGATATGACAAGTGACAGCTGTTATTTGATTTTGTTTTGAAAAAGGATACGCAATATAAGCATTTTTGTGTTATGATCAAACGCGAGAACCTCCCCCTCGACCTCCTCCTTGAAACAAGTCGTACAGATCACTGTGGAACCGATACTGAAGCAATCGTTCACTGCATTTCCAACGTCGGCGGTGGCAGCGGCCATTTTTAATTGTCGCTGTCGCTGCAACTCGAACAACTTCCGATATGATATTGACAACAGGCGATAGATTTATATATATATATGTGTTTATATATATATATATATATTTTTTTTTATGTGTGTATGTATGTATATATTTGTGTACTATATGGATCGGAGTGGTGTAATTAAAAGCAAGATTTAGATGTATGCTTTCAATGTTATGTTGCTGTTGTTGTTTTGCTAAGGGACAAGCCTTATTGTAGCCGCTGCTTGCAATTGTTTACACAACAGGCGAGCGAATTTCGAATATACTTAGCGTGGAAAGTGCGCCTAATTCTAGTTGTTTGTAACAAACATCTGTTTTGATCCACTGCCCAGTTCTCTGCTTTGTTGTAATTTTGTGGGTTGCGGTTGTGTTGCACTTCCTTGCCGCGGATTCGCTTCGCTTTCACATTCACGTTTCGGTGTCGGTCGGAGTTGCCTTTGCCTGTTTTTTTTTTTATCGGTCGTGTTTCTTCGAATACGTGTTTTGCGGTAGTTGTACCAAATGTTATTGCGTGCGTTGCCTAAAATAATTTGCTCTGCCAGCAGCGCAAGCGATTTATGTGTGTTAAATACGTATTTTATGGTTTTGTAATTGAGAAGTAACAATAAAAATATGCTGCGTACGAAAAAATTTATTGGTCAACACACGAAACAACAGCCAAAAAGGAGGCAGAAAAGAAATTGCAGTGTTGCATATACGAATAGAGTTGTTTTACATTCTGTTAAATAAACATATCGATATCACTGTAATTCGATATCAACTCCTGTCGATAGTTTCGCTTGCAACAAACAAAAAGCCGGGTTTATTACATTTAGCGCCAAAAAGTTGTTTTCTGTTAATAGAATTAGCAATTTATTTATTTATACATACATATAATGGTGGATGCAGATAATACACAGCTGAATC